ACCCTCTCCACCTTTTTATGGGGGTGGGACCCCACTCATAAAACCAATTCTCATCCTTCTCATTCACTCCAGATCCACCTGGCCCTGCCCTAGAACAGAGGCTTTATCCACACTGGTTTACTCTAAGGACCAGTGCACCTCTACCGACAGCATTCTCACACCCTGGAGGGAACAGGGACCCCCTGAAAACTCAGGGTGCAGTGATCAACCTGCTCCCTCTTGTTCAAGTGAAGTGCACTTCGCTCCTCAAGATAACATGGCAAGTGGGCACACAAGCAAGCACTGCCTAATGCGGATGTTGGCAATGAGTCACCTCAGAGCTGGGCTGGCTTCTTCCTGGCATGAAAAAAAATCCCTAAAGAAGAGCAACACTCAGGCTGCACACAAGACAACCCAGTCTGAATAACGCTCAGTCATCAATCCCCACACAGATCTCTGTTCTGGCTCCACAGAGGTCAGCAAAGGAAACAGTGCAAGGCAAACTAGGGATCTGTGAATATTTTCCCCCTTTCCATTAAGTACTACCATTGTATAGGAAAGCACAGGACAAAGTGGAGCCCCAGACAAGTATCATGCAGGAAATGACTCAATGGGAGAAGGATCCAGAGTGTTCACTCCTTCCTTCTTGCCCTAGTAGTCAACAGTCCTCCTCCAGTTGTAACGATTTCCTGTTTGTCCATCTGCTTTGACCCACTGAGTCACTACTCATCCCCAGGTCACCTGCATCAGGTTTTTATCGGGAGAAGAGGAGGCCAGAGGACCAGCTGTTGCCCAAAAACCATGGTCCTGGTTTGCTCTTGACCACTTGCTTTCTTGAAACGCTGAGGAGCAAGTTACAGGATGAAGAAAAAAGCAACGAAACAATAAAGAAAGGTGCTAGCAAAGGTTAAAATTCAGGGTTAATGCTCTAGAAAAAGAGTCTCATAAAAGCATGGAACAGGTAATCACCAGAATACAGCAAGGACTTTAGAAACTCCACTAAGCTACCGTGATGCAATCCTATCCCTTCACCTCTGTCAACACACAGTTTCTTGATAGCTTGAATCAAATTTGAGATTTCCCATTGCTGTAGACACATAGGGTAGGAAATGTCAATGGGAAGACAGAAAGCACAAGCTGTGTTCGTACACAGAACTACTCTGGTAAGCAGCAGCAGGAGCCCGCAGTGCCAAAATAAAGTATTTTCTGTGTGACACTGAGGAACAACAACTTACTGCCTGATCTTGTCATTCCTGGGTCCAAATCTTGGTCCAGAAGGCCCTCTCCTGCAGGCAGAAGAGAGAGCAATCAGGATGGGAGATACAACAAAAACATGTATTTAAACCAAAGACTCAAAGACAGAACCAATGTCTCGTGGATGGAGGATTGTTCTCGTGCCTCCCATCAGTCCCTCCCTATGACTTAGGCTATGTGGGACACCCCACTCTTATACAGGTCACACCTATTAAGTCTTAATTCACACTCTGTGCCAAGGCTCCGGGAGATCATCTCAAAGGAATCGGAGGTTTTGACCCCCAAGCCCCCACCTATGTGGAAGGGGGCAGCTTTTGGTGTTCTCAGAGATGTAGGCAGTTAAGACATCGCAATCCCTACAGCAGCCGTTCGGAAACTCACAAGAAAAAGTCTTCCTCTTCATCCGAATCTTCCTCCAACAGGTTCCTCTGCAAACACAGAAAAAAACCAAACCACCTTTTCAATAAGCAACCACCATTTCACACGCACATTTCCAGGCCCTAGGATGCAGTCAGCATCCTCTGACTCCAGGTTACGTGCAAGCCCTCCTTTGGAGAGCATCAATGGTACTTTTTAGGTGTCTAGAGCTGTGCTGTTTCCTCTGCTTGCGATCAGGGGCCAAGCTGGATGCCTCTGTGCTGCTATTATCACCTCGGCAGTGTTTGCTAGCTCTGCGCAGCACAGACAGGCGCAAAGCTCTGAAGCTCTGACTTGGGACAACTCACACCTCTGCCACCAAGCCAAACTGGATTTGCATCAACGACCAGTTGCCTGCGCAGGTTCAGATCCCAATTCTAGGGATCAGTACAACTCTCCGCGGCGCAGAAGCAACCAGTGTGTCAGCACGTCGAGCCCTGCCTTGGAAAGCAGCAGGGAGAGCCCCTGCACAGGCCAGCTGCAGAAAGAAGGCCCTCTCTGCTCAAGAGATGCTCCCCAGTGCTGCACTTGGTCAATGGCAGCTGCCCAAAAACCACCAGCATCACCTACAGCCACCCTGGGATATCCCATCCACGTGGGAAGTCGGATCCACTCCCTATTTGGATGCCGTGGTGGTTTCTCAAGCTGTCGCATAGCAGCAAGCATAAGAAGGATGACTGCAAGGAAACACGCTGGGGTCCCTGCACAGCATATCCAGAGGGGTCAGCCCCTCCAAACCCCTGACTCAGACAAAGGCTATGGCCGGGCTAGAAAGCAGAGTGGTCTGGTAAGCTCCTCTGCTTCGTGCCAAAGGGCTCCTCCTGGGCTCAGATTTGCTGTTCCACTACACCCGATCAGATGATCTAAAGGCTGATTTTTAAGAGCAATCCCACTTAAGCCTGAAAGTTTCAGACAAAGATGTTACCGGAGTTAATTTCTCATATCGGGGCAGCAAGAATTTTCCAGCTGAGCTGAGGGCTCCCAGTAACATCTACTTAGGGTCAAAAATAATCAAGAAGGGGAAATGGCACGCTACATGCGTGGGCCTAGGCACACATCGGAGGGTCCTTACACTACCAACAGCTGCTGCTTCCCCTGTGCATAAGTTTGGGCTCCCACCTGCAAGTGCAGTGGTCTTATTTTGAAGCTTATCTACATTTCCACCTTTGTCACATTTGCTCAATCAACTTAAGCAAGCTGCGAGATCCACTGACCGCTATCGCGAACTGCAGCAACATTTTAGACTGCAGTCTAAACTCAGTTTTAGCACACTATCACCCCAGGACAAACAAACACATCAGGTTAAATCCGTTTTGTCTAAAACGGGCAACCGCACCACTTTGACCCGCATTCAAAGCCTGAAATGTCAGTGGACCCTGGTGACAGGAGAAAAATTCAGCTGTAAAGCACAGAGTAACTTCACACAAGTCCTTCAGCCAGCTACACGGGGAGGAGAGCCGCGACGCGCCCGGGCCGAGCTCTGCAGCGAGGCAGGAGACTGGAGCGCACTGGGACCTTACGGCCATATAGACGCAGCCTAAAGGAACTGAAACAGCTTCTCAAAACAGCCGTGACCTCCTAACGGGAGTTGTTTCAAAATCCACAGGTCAGCTTTGCCGCACAGACAGTCCCCTCGCCAGCTAAACGTCGCTACCAACAGCGACACGGCCCCCGGGCCCCGTGGCCGAAGGCTGGGGCGGCACGAATCCCTTCGGCAAAGGGGGCCGTAACTCGCCCGCACCGGCCCGGCGGCTAGCGGCACGGGGCGATGCCGGGGCCCTTGGGGTCCCCGAGGCCCGGTAGCACCCCCCCGGCCCGCCCTGGGCGCCTACCCCGGGCACCCCCACG